TAGACATTCTATCATTAAGACCATAATTTAAAGGAAACCCATATTTCATCAAATATTTTGCTAGTATCTTTGTAGCACTAAGCACCTTTAGTTTTCTTAGTAAGGCATTTTTAGGTACTAATTCCGTATTTACAATCTTAAAAACATATAGATCTCCATCCTAGTTTCCTTCGACTTCAATGTACGGCATAGATATATTCTTGAACAGAGGTGGTGCCTCTTTCGCTATCATAGTGAGTAGCTTGTCATTAACTATATATTTTACCCTCTCATGTAATGAGGATGCCATAACTATATATTTTAGCCTCCGATGTAATAAAGATGCCACAGCTCCGAACTTCATGGATCCATGGTTTGCTTAGAAGCGTGCTATAGGATGGTTGGACATCAATAACTTATAAGGTGACTTGAAATTGAAGCGGCCTAATGTCAAGATCGATATCAATATCTCCTATTGCCTATCTTAGAGAACCATCGCATGTTTTTATCATCATTTTGTTAAGATGCATATGAGAGACATCCATAAGTAAACGATCTAGGATAAGTTTAGGCAAGATATTCAAGGTGGACTTATTGTTAATCGAACTTTATCTATTGTATGATCTTTATATTTGATCGTGATGTGCAATGATTTATTATGATTAGTACCTTCGAGACTTAGTTCATCTTTAAAAAATGACAAATAATTAATAGCTCGAATCCTCCCTACCAAATGCTTTATGGAATTAGAAGTGATATCCTAAGGGATATATACTTCATTTAGTAATTTTCATAATACCTCCCCATATGATTTAAAACTCGGGATCAATGATAACGGATAGATTTTAGCAGGTGTTTTCTTCAACTAATCCACCATACTATAATCATTATTCTTCATTGCTTTTAAAAATTCGATAGTTTCCTCATCATCCATCGACTTGTTAGATTCTCCCCATTTGAAGAGATCCACTACCTCCTTTTCTTTCACCTTTTGTAGCTCTTTTGGAGTATAACACCTCTCACTTCGTGTAAGGCTAGTAATATTAGTATTAAATGACATATTCATTGCTAGATAGGTATGGCTTATAGCATTATAAGATGGGGCTAGATAGTTGTTCGATGTTGATAGAATCATTATAGGTGGTCCATTGCTAGTAAGTTGGTACCTACATACCTTAGGATAACCCTTTTTGATGACGAGAACATTCCTACCACCGATCCCTTTATGACTTTCTCTACTTAAAAAGTTCTTGAAAGCAACATAACTTCTACCTCATCGTGGAACTCTTTACGATTATTGATATCATGGCTTTTAATATGATGATATTCATAAGTATCGCTTCTTGTCACTTCCAACTTGATAGCCAATTTGTTTCCTAAGGTAACGAATTTGTGATAGCATCATGTATATTCTCGTCCATAGACACCTTCACCTTTCTTATCTTTTTATCAAACTTGACCTCTTTAGAAGTTATCATGTTACATCCTCCCTTCCCCGTGGCATGATTTAAAAGTAGATTAGTATTGATATTTAGAGTACTTGGATCATCAAAACTTATTCATTCGTGTTTGATGAGAATTTGTAGCTTCCTCTTAAAGGCTAATCCTTCTTGTATTAGATTTCCTTAGATGCATCCATGGTATTCACATCGTTCATCTTTCTTAGACCATGACGGATATAAAGATTATATTGGCTCTGTTGTAAGTAAGGCTACCTATCCAATGTTGACCAAGTATTGGAATAATTCCCTTAAGAAGAAAGAAAGAAGGGGTAGTGGTTCAAAGTCTTCTTTATTATATGGATCGCCATGGTTAAATTTAGCTGGGTAAGGTTTAGTTGAAATTTAGATGATCATATGGCGATCTAATCGAATTGGAAAATTAATTAGCTTGATAGGTTGGGATAATTAGATGATACTAGCATTGTGGGTTTGACGGGTAGGACATATATACTTGGTTTGGTGTACGAGGTCATATTTAGGTGGTAGGAAAAGTGGTAGTTATAGGACATATTTGGTGAGGTGGTTGGGAGCATTATATTAGTTTGATTTGGTAATGACTTTGGTGAGTGTATTGTTGTGGATTGTTTTAGTAACTCGTTTGGTCGATGAGTTCCCACCTAGTGAACTTCTCATCCTTTTTTTTATTCCTACATTAGTCTTTTCCTCTACTCTCCTAGAGATATTTCCCGCTTTAATGGCTATCTCCACCTTCTCGCAATAACCACTCGTGTTAGTAAGTTTGTTAAGGCATTATCAATCAAATAATCAAAATAAGGTGTTTTGAAAATATTTAAGAAGATTGAAATCAACTCGATTCGGCAAAGATGGATGGATTTGTGTTGCTAATTCGCACCACCTTTGTGTATACTCTTTAACAATCTCCTTAGGACCTTTCTTCATGCTTTGGAGGTTGGAACAATTTAGGGCCACCTCTATATTGAATTTGTATTGTTTGATGAAAGCATCGCCTAGGTCTTTCCATCTCTTAATCTTAGCTCCTTCCAACCTCATGTATCGATCATGAAAGAAATGTATGAATAACTTTTCATCATTCATCACTTCAACCATCTTACCGTAATATACCCTCGAGTGGATAGGGCATCGAGTTCCAAGTATACTTGATGAATTTTAGTACCTTGAAATTCTTTGGAATCACCATATCGGGAACCAAGCATATTTCTATAATTCTAATAAGGTTATAAGCATCACCCCCTTTGATGGCCCTCGGACACTCTTCGATAGCAAATAACTTATTTATGCTTAGTCCTTCCATTACCTTGTACTTGGTAGTTTCTTTAGTGGTGAGATTCACATTGGGTACATTAGCTATTTATGGAATAGGCAGATTCATAAGATAAGTAAACTAGCAAGTGGGGTAAGAAGTCTTGACATCGCATGTCATTCCCCTTGAGTTGTTTTGTAGCACAATGGATGGCCTAAGTTATAAGTTGACTATTGAGGGGATAAATGGTATATCATTTTGAGGTTGCCCTTGATTTGAATCGTTTCCCTCATTCGAGCCTTTTTTAAGAAATTAGTTAGGCAGTACGACATCGTTCTTTATGCATTTCATTTCTTATAGCCGATCTATCCCAATTATACCCCTTCTTCATTTTTCATTGATTGGCATCTAATAAGGGTGTGGTAAATACAAGGAAAGAGTTGAATTTTAGCAGAGAAGCGTATGTTTCAAATCCCGAAAAATTGCTCAAAACAAAGACATATGCAATGAATATATAATATATGCATGCATGATTTGAACTAGGTTGGATATCTTCTTTTGTTTGTTACACATTGGTTCTTGAATGAACCGGAGGCAAGAGGTTGATGATTTGTATTGAAATGAAGGGGGTAAGGGGATTTCCTGAATCGGTCGATCGAGAATGGAACGATGGTAGCAAGGGAAATTAGCCTTCTACTCGCTTCTCTCGGTTGTTCTTCGCTCAACTCAGCAACCTAGAAATCCTTAAGAAACTAGAAACTAACTTTGGAACCTAGAAATGAATTCGAAAAGAAACCCAAGAATCCCTTTTGAAACCCGTAAATTCAAGCCTTCAAAATCGTTTCCTAATCCTTAGAATTGCCTAGAAAATCCCTCTTCACTCTTTGAATTTCTCTTTTACCCAAAATACCTCTAATTTTTTTTCTCCCTTTTCTTTGTCTATTTTCCCTAATTTATAGGCAAACGCCGCCCATTTCCTCACCCTAGGATCAATTTCTTCATTTTGGTTTGCTAACTGCTAAAGTCAAAAACCCGATACTCGGGTTTTAACATTATATGAATAAAAAAATATCTTTGTGTGTGTATAGTTACAATACGATACAAGTGTGGTAAGGGATGCAGAGTTGGTTGTAGGGTTATACATTTGTTATGGTGTAGGCATCAGTGCAAGCATGATTATTGGTCGGTACAAATACCAATAAAAAATCACAATGGTTGGAGACAGAATTTTGTCTCTAAGAAAACTGCCGAGATTGAAACCCTAAAGTTGTTTCTAGGTTGGAGTGAACAATAGATCGTTCACTTGAACTTGTTCTTATCGTTCTCTCCCAAATTTTAATTTGGTCCTTGCAAATTTGTCATCTAAAATCATGTCCTTTTCTATATAATTCTAGTCCATGTGAATTGTAATTTTATCAATTGGGTCCCTATAAAAGTGTAATTTAGGTTCTAAATTTTTTTACTAATTCAATTATATCTCTAATTGCCTCAATTATACTTTCACTTGATTCGATTGTACCCTCGGATGCAATTATATATATTGTATTTTTTTTTTTTTTTTGCTTTTTTTGTGGTAAATTCCCACAATAAAGTAAAAAGAAAATATAATATAATGAAGATAAAATAAAACAAAAAAATTACAAAAAATAAGGGGAAAATTTTGGGTTATGACATTACCTTAAATTTCATTTTAGATATTAAATCCCGACTCTCATAAACCATTAGAGATATAATCTAGTGGTAAAGGATTGTTTATGTTTGAAAAAAATTTAGATTTAATTTTCATTATCCACATATAATTAGTTATAGTTAACCTTTAATTGTATTAGATTTGGATTGATTTGGTTTAAGAAGCTATCAGAAGCTAGATGTATTATGATGCTGGTTTAATATGCTGAACTTAATCTCGATTGAGTCAAAAACTAATTCAAAAATCCTTCATACTGACTTAACACTTAGTTTTTATTGAATAAAAAATTAATAAGTTCTCGATTGAGTCAAAAACTAGTAAAAAATACTCTATACTGACTTAATACTGAGTCTCTTTGAATTAAAAAAAAAAACTAATTAAAAAAATTCTACTGCTTGTAAATATATAAAATAAAACTAATAATAATATCAAACCGCCTGGCACAGAGACATTATCTACTGGCAGTAACAAAGCACAGAAGTTAATGAGAACCTCACAATAAACTTGACTTAAATTATGAAACACTGATACTTCAAAGGAAGCCAACCCTTTATTATTATTATTATTTTGGGACCTGCATCAAATATTGAACTTGAAGCAAAATTTGTTACCAACACTCGTACAACTTAATATCAACACGAAGTCTGAAATAAACTTCACCCTCAAATGAATCAGTCATCAATGTGGCTATACCTCTAGCCATGAAAAAGTCTCCAGTACCACCAATCACTGAAACATCCCTAGTCTTGTTCATCAATGGATCAGCCCCAGCAAAGTTTATGCTTCCTTTATGCTCAGTAGAGTTGAAAACAAAAGAGAAACCAAGCCAAGCAGTGAAGATTTCTTTATTGTCATATACATAAATCCCTTGTGCACGACCAACTGGGGTTGAGTGTACATTGTTGTCTAAGGTAATGGGGTCATCAAAGACAACCAAGTCACCAAAATGGTTTTGATTAGCCAATATGGTCTTGTTGCTCCAAGCTGGTGCACCCACAATTGCTGCTGTTGCGTTTTTGGAGTTCTTGCCGTTGTAAATGATGTCGTGGAAATAGAAGACTAATCTTTTGCAAGGTTTATGAGATCGAATATTTCGGCTAGGAAAAGCAGAGGATTTGGAGAGCAAGAAGAGAAGGAAGAGAGTTAAAATTAGTCTTTTAGTTTCCATTTGCTAAAAATATGGAAAAATGTGAGGAGGCAAAATGCTCGAGTCACCTGATATAGGAGATAAAGTATGCACTAAAGCTTGGCTTTGAAGGCATCGTTGGTGCACCAGCATAGGTACTACCAGATATTCAAGAATCTGCCTTATTCTCTTCGAACAACCTTCTTAATTTGTTGGCTTTAAGTCTACGATAGAAATCATGATTGGATGCACATGCACCAGGGGATTCGGTCACCAAATGTTATTATTGGAGGAAGTAATGTAAAGATGGACATGAGTGTGAGGAGATTCAATTTGATTTGAAATGAAGCCACTAAGGTTGGTGTGATTTTTATGTTAAAAAACAGTTTTCTAACGTTATAATTGACTGTAGCACCATCTCACATCCAGTGGTGGACCTGGTCCATTTTTTAAGGAGAGACTAAATAAGTATATTATATTTTTAAAAAATAGTTATATATATATGACTAGCTGGCTAGCTGCAAAACTAGAAAATTTTCCTTGGAATGGTCAAAGTATAAAGACAGCACCTTAAACTGGTGAAATGCATGACAATTTCAACCATAAAAAAATAAAAATAAATAAATAAATAAATCTTGTAAAAGGTACTGAGGTTCTGCTTCTTTTCTTTTCCCTAACAATTTTTTTTTTATAACTATTTTCATCCTAAAAAATCTTGAAATTAGAATAGAATCCATCATTAAATGAACGTATCCACAGAATATGTATATATAAAAAATTCTTGTAAAAGGTACTGAGGTTCTGCTTCTTTTCTTTTCCCTAATAATTTTTTTTTAACTATTTTTATCCTAAAAAATCTTGAAATTAGAATAGAATCGAGCATTCAGGAAATGAACATATCCGCAGAATAGAGAAATTTGGAATGCTTTATAACTAAATTAGTGTTTGAACTGCACATTGCTGTGGGACTCGATTTATAGTTATATATATATATTTATTTATTTATTTAAATTTTGTGTTGTTTTTGTTGCATAAATTACGGTACTGATTTATCATGTTGTTTAATTTAATTTATGTTTTATATGAATCTCTCATTTCAAGTTCAAAATAATTTTTATAACCAAAATACTAAAATTATCATTTATTGATGTTGCAAAAAAAAAAAAATTTCTTGATATTTATTTAAAGTGCTATTTCTTTACTTTATATATATATATATATATATATATGTGTGTGTGTAAACTCAATTTATTTGTTTGATATTAAGTAATATCGTTTTAATTTCTAGAGTGATTAGTCAATTTGGTTGAATTTTTATTATCACTAGTTTACTTTTTAATTATTGTTTTTAATATAAGAAAAACCATAAAGAGTAGCAAATTATATGTCATTTATCCAAAATTGATCTTTTCTAATCATATGTTATAGATAACACACGTGAATTCCAATTTTATTTTTAAACAATTTTATTTTATTTTTATGTTCCTAGACCATATATGGCTAGTCTTCATGTACATACTTTGTATGAAGAAAAATTCTTTTATCTTTTTTTTTCCTCATTTTACTTTTAATTATTAATTATCTTTTAAAATGGTTTTTTAAAGTATGAGAAAAATAATCTAAAATGCATTTGTAACCTTTAGATTATATATATATATATATTAATTATATAAAATATCTTAATTTTTTTTAAAGAGAGAAGATAATCAAATTTTAAAATTTAACTCCAAAATTCATATATAAAGAAAAAATAAATCATATTTTTCATCAAATAAAATTTTATAAAAATAAAAAATAATTGAATGAGAATTTCTATAAAAATAACAAATTAAAAGAATTAAGTTTAAACAATAAGAATATTAAATATGAAACACATCACATATATTTCTTTATTATCATTTTGTGTGAAAAAATTTAAAAATAACTATCAATTTTTTTATATTTTTTGCAAAAAATAAAAATAAATGATAAACAGTTAAAATATTAAAAAAAAAAAAAACTAAACTTATAAACTAATAAAGTATCAAAGTATAATATCACAACAACTTATATATTAAATATCTTTAAAAAAAACCTTCATAATTACATCAATGTCAACGCATAGTAAAAAGGATAATATAAATGAATGTGGATGAATAATTTCAATGACCTAGAAGAATAGTGTTTAAAACGATAAAGAAATAGTAAACCATAGTTTTGTTGAAGTTTTTTTTTTGTTCATGATTCAGGAGTGCTCTACAACCATTTGGTTCCTAACTCAAAGGAAATATTAATAAGGAAGAACTTTACTTGATTCTCATTTTAAACCTATTTAAAACTTCAAACTCTTTATCATTCTGATTAAGAAGAGGCTGTACTGTTGTACAATTTGACACCGAATGCTCAAGGCTTCTTCCTTTGGATTTTTAATTATACAAAGTCATGTTTGTGAAAACCCCATTTTTAGCCTCTGAATTCTTTCTCTTGAACCAGCTGCAGAGCTTGTCTCCACTTTTTCTTTGTTTTTGACTTTGATTTGTGACAGTATGCAAAGAAAACTAAAAATGGAGAAATTTCAAACCTAGATTCAAAAACCTCCAATACTTCAAATCAATAACCCATGTGCTTGTAGCTATTTTACCCTCGAAATCAAGAATCCATTCAAACCCAAAAATCTGGGTTTCGTGATTGTTGGCCTTACAGTAGGATTTCAAACCCAAAACCTATGCATGCCGTTTGAATTGCAAGGCCACTGTAAAAACCATTTGGGTTTCAAAACCCAAATCCCAAACCCATCACTTCCGATTCCTCCAAATAACCACTAAGAACATCGTGAATTGCATTCAGGATGGGGAGAGATCGATCTCATTTCTTTTCATTCGAAACAAAAAACGAAAAATCTTAGTAATGCAACCACCAAGTTTTGAGTTTCAGTTTTGTAGTCAAAAGCAATAATTGGAGAGACCAAACTAGCGATCGTGGAGAGTGAGAGGAAAGAGGAGTTTCCGCCGTACTGAATAACTGAATCCGTTGAGGGAGAGGATAGAGGCAAGAGTGACGTTTGATAGATACATTCTACAGAGGGGGATCTGTGATGAAATGGAGATGAAGGACAGAGGGAATGAATGTGACATTTAGAAATGCGTTTTGTTCTAATTATTTTAATTTATTTTCTTTTTCTGCAATTTCATAAATGAAAAAAACAAATTGCCATATCATTAGCCTATGGAAGAAAATGGAAACCTGGACATGTGGACCCACAAACACAGGTCACTCATTGAAACCAATGATTTTCAGCCACGTTTCCCCGCGCAGATGTAAAATTGAACTTCTGATGGAAATTGGACGGCGTGGTGACGGAGAGATTAACGCTGTCATAAGAAACAGATTTAATCCAAAAGGCCAGATCATGAAAAGATAATTTTTTTAATAAACGATAAGGTACTTGATTAGATTGAAAATTATATAGAATGAGTGAAATTTTTACAAAATACAGAAAGCATATAATGCAACAAAACAAAAATACAAGCAAATTGACATTTATGAATGTCAAGTATCAATAGACTGATAATTGTTAATGCATGAAAAGGTAAAGTACATAAAGAAAAAAAATACTTGTTAATAAAATAAATGAAAAGGCAAAGTACTTGTAGGTAGTTTATTACACCAAATGGAAAGACAGATGGAAGACAACAATAACACTAGAAGATGGAGATGAACGAACAATAAGGAGGATTGGAGGCTTGAATGTGGTGAAGAGAAGGGACGACAATTATTTTGAGTATAGTTTTTTCAATAACCGAATTTAATTAAAAAAAAAAACTAATTGAATTGGCAATAAATTATAATTTGATTTGACTTTAACCGAATGGTGTTTATCCTAAATGAATGGGATATATGTGACCATAAATAAAAAATGCAGGGATTTACATGTTCACACATTTGAATATCAAACAGTTGGGAACAATCCAACCAAGGGATAAAAGAGTTATCTCAATTAAATCAAAAGAGTGATGACCTGGCACATGTCATGTTCATCATCATCATGGACAATCATGCACGAAAAAAAAAAAGAAAGAAAAAGATTGGGCTTTCTAATGTGGCATATATTTTTCATAAGTAAAAAAAAATAAAAAATTATTATAATCAATTTTATTAATGTATTTTAGGAATATCATTTCAAAGTAAAGACGAGACTATTGTCCTAGCTATAAAGCTCAAAAGCCACGGAATCGGGAGGGGACTCGGGTTCCTCGAAGCATTGATCGAGCAAGACTTGCTTAGGGATTGTTTCGGTTCGGGCATTGTTACCTAATCCACAGTTTATATAGGACCACCTAGAGATCATTTTACATCGAAATTTGTTGTCTCGTCCATTATTTAGATAGAATTGCTTAGCGATCATTTTATTTCAAGCGTGCTTCGCCTAGCCCATCTTCAAGTAGGACTCGCTTAGCAATCATTGTATTTTAGGTATTGTTATTTACTTTATTATTTTAGGGCAAATTGTTCGTGACAACAAGACTATCGGTAGGAATAGATTGTTTATGACAATAAGACCATTAGTAGAGATAGGTCATGCATGACACTAATACTATCGGTAGGAATAGATTGTTTATGACAATAAGACCATCGGTAGGGATAGGTTGTCCTTGGCATTCGTTGCCTAGTCCATAGTTTAGATAGGACCACTTAGAGATCATTTTACTTTAGATATTTTTGTATTGTCTATCATTTAGATAGAACTACTTAACGATTATTTTATTTCAAGCATGTTGCTTAGCCTATCTTTCATGTAGGACTCCCTAATGATCATTGTATTTCAAGCATTCGTTGTTTAGTTTATTATTTCAAGGAAGGTCAGTTTGTGATAACAAGACCACCGATAAGGGTAGGTTGTCTATGATAACAAGACTAGCATTAGCGACGAGTTGCTTGTGACAATAAAACTATTAGTAGGAACGGATCGTCCGTGACAACAAGACCATCAATAGGGGCGATAAGACATCAATAGAAACAGATCGGTACGTAACAATAAAACCATCGGTAAGGATAAGTTGCCC